TGGCCTGCCCAGAGTCCAGACCTGAACCCTATCGAGAACCTATGGGACGAGTTGCATCGCCGAATTCAGGGGTGCACTACCCGCGCAAAATCGGTGAAGGAACTTCTATGTCTTCTCCAAGCCGAGTGGAAGAAAATACCACTAGCTGTCATACAAAGACTTGTGAAAAGTATGCCCCGGAGGGTCCACGCTGTAATTACCTCTCGTGGAGGCTCTACCAGCTATTGATTTTGAATAACGTTAGTTTTTCCTTTCTATCACAGGTGTCCAAATACTTATTTGTAGTCAGTGTATGTCAGACGGTTTCACTCAAATAAGAACTCCACAACATACGTTCCTCAAGAATTACTAGTCACTCACACTCCCATAAATTACTTCACACAAGTCTCACCGACTGATTTAATTCAAGTCCCCGCTGCCGATAAAGAATTTCGGAAACACAACCCTTCTGAGCCAGACGCGAAGAGAACACTTTGCCCACTTCCCACTAGAACCACTTAATTAATGCTTTTTCTGACCTTTTATATCTTCATGTATTTTTTATTTTTTTATTTGTTTTTGCAAAGATTGCATTATATTTCTTATATTTCGTAATTTTCTAATGTTTATTTCAATTACCAATTCATATTGCAATTTTCAATGTTTAATATTTACAAATAGTTTTGAATTAAAATGCATAAACACGAGGGTGTCGGGGGACAATTACTCGAGTAATTTATCAATTTTACTGCAAAAATTTCTTTTCACTCAAAATTGAATTAGCGACAATGCTTAATCGGAATGAGTTCTTTGTTTATCTGCATCGGTTCTTGATCTCTTTTATTCACGGAAATATTTGGCCTAGCTTGAATTGCCGGTTTGGCATCGCCTTATTACTTGAGTAAAGGACGAAACACCTTCGTATTTATTTCTTAATTATTGTTCATTGAAGGGGAGTTGGTTTGTTCCCCTTGAAAAGTCAACTAATTTCCGATTAACGGCTATGATTACTTGCTTTTAATAATTACTTGCTTTTAATTTATTTATTTTTACAATTGAAATTTTGTTGTTCATGATTTAATTCAAGTCCCCGTTAAACATTTTTAACAATTTACATTCAAGTTACTTTAAAACAATTTTCGGGATTGAACTTACTACATATGTATTCATTCTTTTAAGATAATTCTACTAAAATTAATCTTAGGAGATAATATAATCAATATTTCTTTAATAAATAAATTATTATTAACTTACTTTGCAGCAATTGCATAAGTAGTAGAATAACTCGATTTCGCACTAAGTGAATTTAAGATCCTCAACATGAAATAGATGAGACAGCAGAATGACATTGCAAGTCACCAGTTTACAGTATTTACATAGATTCTCATCACCAACACATAATTACTGGCAACCTGAATATCATACAAAACCATCAACTAAAAACACTAATGAGTTATTTTACAAAATTTAGACCAGTCAGAATCAGAAACATAACTAAAAATTACTGTTGCAAGACTTTCGAAAATAACATCAACGAATTTATAGTTAAAGCAAGCTATCAACTGAATTTACCTATAGATACCGTTTTAAAATGGAAATATAAAATTCTTCAACGCATATCCACCGAAATCAATCACCTCAAGTTTAAAAGTACATTGAATTGGTCGCAACTTACATCAGATATTAAAAAATTAAAAAAACTTTTTACTATTACAGAAATAGATAAAGCAAATAATAACTTTAGCGTTATATGAAAACAATTCTACGCAGAAATTATTCATAAAGAACTATTCAACGCAACTACTTATCAATTAGCCAACCTTACAGAAACATCTATAATAAACAGAATTAAAACTTTTCATAAAAAAAAAAAACTAAATATTACTTTAAATCCAAGCTACACAGATTTACTAACCTATATGCACTTCCCAAATTCCATGAAACACCATTAAAATTCAGATTAATAGCAAATGGAACTAATAATTACAAGAAAAATTTAGCTTATTATTTTTCAATTCAACTTAAAAAAATCTGTAAATTTATTTTCAACGATTGTAACACTAATCATAACTATGGATCATCCATAATAACACTCCTGTCATTAATGTCATTCAAACAATTAAATTAAGACAATTAAATTAACAAACAATTAAATTCAAACAATTAAATTAACATACAGAACATTAACTGCTATGACTTTGAAAACTTATATACCTCACTTCCTCTAGAAGAAATCTATACTAGTCTACTAGGTCTGCCTAAGCTCTTACCTGATATGCTCACGATTATGAATCTTAACAAATGGAGAAAATACCTAAAATGCACACTTTTTCATAACTACATCAAATTTCAAAATCAACTTTTTAAACAAGTCAGAGGTCTTCCAATGGAATCCCATTCCAGTACCTCGCTCTATAATATCTTTTTATTTATCAAAGAATTTAACTTCCAAAAAAATCTACAACCACAAGAATTAAATTACTACAAGCACACTCACAGATATATTGATGACCTTATTACAATCAATATTTTTAATAAAATTGAACACTACGAGATTTACGCAAATTGTCTTACACTTAATAAAACTAATAATTCAGAAAATAGCGTAGTCTACCTAGATCTTCAAATCATTAACTACAAAAAAATTTTAATTTTTGACAAAACAAGAAACTTCAATTTCATTACTAATAAATTAATAAATTGGAATTCCAACATATCCAAAAAAGTTATTTACAATACAATAATAAACCAAATACAACGAATTAAAAATATCTGCACAGATACGATAGATGTATAACGCGAAATTTTGCTCCTTATTAAAATTCTCAAAAATAATCTAATACCCAATCAATTTATTAACCATTGGCTTAAAAGAGCAGGCGTTAAATACTCACTCTAAATCATTTAACTAATAGGGATATGATAATTTGTTCCTAAACCTGAGAAGGCGGTATAAGTTGGATGACTATCAGTTGAAGGATTTGTACATAGTGTAATTACAAAGCTGCATATAATGTAAAAAGCTAAATGTCTTCAGACTTATGCTGTTACTAAAAAAATGGGCATATTTCATAATCTCTAGTCTGTCAAATAGCTCTTTGACAGTGAAAATTCTTTTTTTCCTTTTCTTAATTTCTTAATCGTTACGACACGACAATTAGCCAGATATTAATTAATTTTCATTCACTAGTATTTTAAAAAAATTAACAGACGTTTTCACTCAAATAAGAGCTCCACACCATACGTCCCTCAAGAATTCCTAGTCCCTCCTACTACCATAAATTACTTCGCACAAGGCTTACCGACTGATATAACTCAAACCCCCGCTGCCGATAAAGAATTTCGGAAACACAACACTTCTGAGTCAGACGCGAAGAAAAACACTTTGCCCACTTCCCACTAGAAAGAATGTAAGTTAATTAATGCCTTTTCTGGCCTTTTAGATCTTCATGTACATTCCCTTTTCTTATGATATATTTTTTAAATTAAAATTTTTATTTTTTATCGATTTGGTTTTGCAAAGATTGCATTATATTTCTTATATTTTGTAATTTTCTAATGTTTATTTCAACTACTTTGAATTCTATTTCATAATGCCAATTTCCAATGTTTAATTTTTAAAAATAGTTTTGAATTAAAATGCATTACCACGAGGGTGTCGGGGGACAATTACTCGAGCAATATCAATTTTACTGCAGAAATTGCTCTTCACTCAAAATTGAATTAGCTAAAATGTTTAATCGGAATGAGTTCTTTTTTTATCTGCATTGGTTCTTAATCCCTTCTATTCACGGAAATATTTGGCCTAGCTTGAATTGCCAGTTTGGCATCGCCTTATTACTCGAGTAAAGGACGAAACACCTTCGTATTTATTTCTTAATTATTGTTCATTGAACGGGAGTTGGTTTGTTCCCCTTGAAAAGTCAACTAATTTCCGATCAATGGTAATGATTACTTGCATTTAATTTAATTAATTGCTTATTTATTATTTTTAATTTATTTCTTTTTACAATTGAAATTTTGTTATTCATGATTTAATTCAAGTCCCCGTTAAACATTTTTAACAATTTACATTCAAGGTACTTTAAAGCAATTTTCGAAATTGAACTTACTATCTATGGATTCACTCTTTTAAGATAATTCTGCTAAAATTAATCTTAGGAGATAATATAATCAATATTTCTTTAGTAAATAAATTATTATTAACTTACTTTACAGCAATTGTGCAAGTAGTAGAATAACTCCATTTCGCACCAAGTGAATTTAAGATTATATATATATATAGCTTAAATAAATATGATATATACATATATATATATAGCTTAAATAAATATGATATATACATATATATATCTTTGCATAAAATGGTAAGAGAATTTCGTGGAAATCCCAGCTAGGGAACTTAGTTAACTTACTTCCTGTAAAAGCATCTGCATAATGCTAACGGAAAAAAATATTTTGGGATTTTAAGCACTTAAACATAGGACACAAGCTTCACCAAAGTTTAATATGCTTGTGTGCCTCTTCGTGAAGTAATAAGAGAATAGGCTATTAACCACTACCGATAACTTAATTACTTTTTAAACACACAATTGAATTATGCAAATGCTAGCAAAAATTATTTCCGAGTTTTAAGCACCTAATAATAGCAAATACGCTACACTAAATTTTAATATAAAGCTAGAGAATCAAATTTTCTATAATCCATATTTTATAGAATTTAGAGACAAACAGTTTCAAATGCGCGAGTCTAACTGCAAAGAGAAAGGTATAGGTAAGACAAATCCATGGTCCCTTTTCTTAGAAATGCAATAGCCACGTCCGCCCACCCTTCTCCCAGACTGAAAAGAGAAAACAAAATATAGCTTAATCTGATGGTGTGAATGTATTCTATAGCAGTGGGTTTTCCACTAAAAATAAAATAACCAAAACAAATACACCATTTCTCGCAATCTCTACGTTAGTGGTGAAAGCGAAGTCATTTCATTGTCGCGATCAAGGGACCGTAACTAAATACAGAATTTCGCGACTCCCAAGAAGCAAGTGGAAGGGGGGATGTAGAGATTAACGCAAAGCGTTGCAAAAAGAGCTTAAAGATCAGAGCTGTGAAACTGATTTTATCATTCGCCGCGGTGATCTAGTCCAAGACACTTGAGTTCTCTCTCTTGATCTTCTTACCCTCACATCGCATCTCGGATTACAAAGGAGCACAACAGGATGCCGGGGTCTATAGCTCGCACCAACTCCTACGAAAATGGACACGTTAGTGAGACATTAAAAGGTAAGCAGTAATAGATCATACAGGAGATAAAAATAGCTAGGAAGAAAATGTGATAAAACAGCTGAAAACGGCATGTAATAGCAATAGTATTTAACTGAAGGAAAAGTCCATATCAACTCATAAATTTAATTATATATTAAATTTTCAGACAAACCTCTTCTGCTGAGTAAAACCAAATAAATAATTGAGGATTAATATAAGCATTTTTAAATAAGTTAAAAATTAAAAATTTGTATGTAATACTATAACCAGTAATTAGAAATACTTTATTACTAATATTTACATAAATTTTTATGAAATATATTGTTTCAATATAATGTTTTACACTTATTAGTGATGTATTATTATAATGGGAAAAATACAGAAATTAAATAATGCTATAAATTATTAAGAAATGTGTTTCTATTTTCAAATTTATCAGTTTAGTTACATGATAATCAACTCACTGATATAAACGAAAGGAAAAATTAAATGATCTTATGTCTGTCAACTAGAAACACTGAGAATAGATAATTTATATTTCTGAGTAAATAGTTAATGCTGTGGAAGGGTAATGAAATTTGATGCATCAATCATGACGTGAGAAACAAACGCTAAACTATAAAGAAGTTTTTATCTTCTAAATGCAAAATGTTTGCATGATAAGCATGAAAAGAAAGGCTAGACTCTAGACGTTTTTATCTTTTAAATGAAAAAATCTTTTTATGATTGCATGCGTTTCCTTCCTACGTCTGAGCAAACTGAAAAACAAATCATAATACATATTGATTTAATTAGCTCGCGTGCAGGAAAATTAACTTTGCAGATATGATTTGAAATGTTCTTTCTGTCTAATAAGAGTTTTACAACACGTTACACAGAAAAAAATCCAAATTTTATAGTTCATGAAAAAAGAAATAATTTCTGTAATCAAATGATGTTAAATGTAAACGATTGCAACGTAATGTTAAATACAACAAATAAAAAAGTTCGTGTTAAAGTTATAGAGTACATGTAAGAAAGAGGTGTACATTACATCTCAAATATAACATCAAAATGCATTAAATGCTAAATATAAGCTATATCACCCTTAAAGCGCGCTTTCTTGCTTAATTAAAATTTAATAGTTGATAAGGTTAGTAAAATGTTATAATCTGAAATACGAACGCATAACATCTTCAAAGGGGAGAAAATTTGCCCATATCTACTTGGTATCATGTAACAAAAGCTTTAAATTTTCACATCCTTTTTAATACTACTTAAATTACCATATTTGCACCAAATATTAGCTATTCAGTTACGCAAATGATAGGGAATTCCGACTTCGATACGGACTTCGTTGCCAATAAACATATATTGTCTTCTCAGGCAACAAATTCGAACTTGAAATACTTAAATCCAACGCAGAAAATTAAATTTCCCAAACCTCAAACGAAAAACTCACTAAAATTGCAACTGTAAGATGTTAGGCAATGATCAAATACAAAACATAAATTCTTACAGCTATGAAAGCTACATTTCTAAGCAAATATATAAGTAATAATAAAAATATTGACTACTAGTTATAAAGGAAATTTGAGAAAAAATTATTTTCTGGTAACGGAGTGTTGTGAAATTAAATTATAATCAAGACGGGAATGATGTACTCTATAAAACCATTTTGACTTTGTATAAAACTGAGCCATCTTGAAATTAGAAAAATAAATATTGTTACGAATTTGGTATTTAAAAAGCTAATGTTAGTTCAATTATAAATTAAATGGTTTTATTTCTCGCGCAGTGCAGCGCGTGACGAATATTAAAAAAAAGCTAAGCCGGAAAAATTAAAAATACAAGAGCGCGTGCGTTAAATAAATAAATATCTCTTTTTGATTTCGAGAAAGTACTGGAAAATTCTAGCGCGTGATTTTAAAAGCTTATAAAAGGAGGAAAACATCTCAGTTTGTAGTAGTTGCTTAGTTTGTTGTTGTTTAGAAAACTACTGTTGTTGATTGTAGCGAATTCGCGGATTAGCGTTCTTTAGCTGTTTTGAATTACGTTCTATTGACATTTGAGTAGTTAAAAGAAAACTACTGTGAGATATTGTAATACTGCATGATAATTTGAGAAAATTTAAGCATTTTTGTTGTGATAATAATAAATTTTTGTTCATTTTTCATCGGACTTGTGCATTCATTTCATAACGAACCCGTACGCACGCAACAATTTTTGGTGTCAGGAGTGGGGTTTGAATGCCAATAACAAGAGCGATGGAAGAACAATTGAGACAGCTCATTAGTGCTTTTGCTGCATTCCAAGAAAAGATGGAAGCTGGCCAAGCATCATTTAAGGAAGAAATGAAATTGGGCCAGGAATCCGTTAAGGACGAAATGAAAGCCGTTCAAGCTGGTCAAGAAGAAATGAAAAGAGAAATTACTTGCATAATAGAAAATAAATTTGAAGCTATGGAAGGCAGAATTGACGCAGTTGAAAATAAAGTTGGACATATTGAAGAAAGAGTTTCTTCGGTGAAAGAAGAAATAGAAGAAAGAGTTTCTTCTGTAAAAGAACAAATTGATGAGAGAGTTTCTGCAGTTGCCAAAGAAATGGATACTTTAAAGAAATTCGTAGCGTCAGCAGGGAGCAGGAGTGATGATTTTAAATTCTTACCAATGCCTGCTCGTCCACCTCTGAAGCTATCCACATATTATGGGAAGACCTCCTGGCAGGTGTATAAGACACAATTTTCTATCGTGGCGGATGCGAATGGATGGGATTCCCAAGCTAAGGCCTGTCATCTCGCCGCTTCTCTAAGAGCCGACGCAGCGGATATCCTTCAGACTCTTCCCGAAAACAAAAGGTTAGATTTCGAAGCTCTGTCCGGCGCCTTGGAGTTGCGCTTTGGGGAGAAGTGTTTAAAAGACTACAGCAGGCTCCAATTAAAATCTCGTCAACAGAAGCCTACCGAAACACTTCAGGAGCTCGCCGCGGATGTTGAAAGGCTGTCCCATCTCGCCTTTTCGGAATGCCCGACAGAAACAAGGGAAATCCTGTCCTTGCAATACTTTATCGACGGCATCCGAGATACTGAAATACAGAAGCTCTACGAATGGCGGATGTAAAAGATTTAAAAAGTGCTCTAGTGTACGCCATGAAATTTGAGGCAGCCCAGCAAGCCACTCGTCGAGACCGCTACCCAGTTAGAGCTGTGCGAGTCCATGAGCCAGTGGATCAACTGATGGCTCGTTTAGATGATTTAGCCAGACAAGTCGAAGATTTGATACGGAGTAGGAGCGAGAAGAAAGTGGCTCTAAGGTGTTGGAGATGTGGTAGTGAAGGTCACCTAAGGCGGAATTGCAGAACACCCCAGGGTACGGAATATAAAGCAGATGATTTTACCAGACAAGTCAGTGGCTTGAGACGGAACAGAAGTGAAAAGAAACTAATTCTAAAGTGCTGGAACTGCGGAGTTGAAGGCCACATACGAAGAAAGTGCAGACCCCGAGGTACGGAAAATAAGACCATTTCCCAGCAACAACGCAGTAAACAAATTAGTGACCATATCGAGGAACGGAGGTTGCCAGATAGTGAAAAACCTTGTTTTAAAGCTCTTAAAATTTATACAGTGAGTGGCAACAATAACGGACTGTCCATCAATATATCGATGGAGTTCCTTGCAGTATGATCATTGACACAGGAGCTAATGTTACCATCATTAGGAAAGATTTAGCTGAACAGTTTAAAGATAAACTTATTTGGACGCCATCCTGTGTTACCCTTCAGACTGCGTCTGGTGACAAGATCGACATAACTGGGAAGTTAAACGTAAACATCACGTTTGGAAGTGCCGCCTACCATCACACGGCATATGTGGCGGATATTACAGATCCATGCATACTCGGATTGGACTTTTTAAGGAAATACAATTTTTCCTTAGACTTGAAAAACAACAAACTGCTTTCAGGATCTGAAGACATGACTATCCATCCTAAGAAGGGATCCTCACCTGGAAATGCCGACGCTTTGTCCGAAAGAACCAGCTCGAGAAACAGTCGAAATCATGCTAGGGTCGAAAAGAAAAAAACACCAGACTACCAGCTATTCTCCATCTCAGATGCTCTTCGGTCGAGACCTTCGTCTGCCTTGTGACCGCCTGTTTCATCGCCGTACGGATGCGCCTTCATCGCCTGAGGAACACATCCAAGATGTCAATGCCCGTTTTGAAGTGATGCACCGTTCCGCACGAAAGCGAGTGAACTTGGCGACGGAGAAAGTGAAGACCAGATACAACACGAGAGCTGCTGGACATAGATCCAACGAAGGAGACAAGGTGTGGTTGTGGAACCCGATTCGACGAAAAGGAGTCAGGCCTGATTTACAGTCACCTTGGGATGGTTCGCACACAATCCTAAACAGGCTAAATGACGTCATGGTTCGGATCCGTGAGTCTTCGAACTCTTACGACAGGTTAACTCATTACTATGGCCATAGTACGTAATGTAAATAATTGTAAATAGTATCAGACCATGGTCCTTTTTGTTTATAAATGTGTATTTAGTATTTGATTTGTATTTAGTATTTGTTTTGTATTTAGTATTTGATAGCATTTGATTTGTTTTATGTATTGCATTTATTGTTCATGTTGTTTATTATAGTAATGTAATGCTTATTAATGCATTTATGCCACAGTTGTAAGTTTAGCTTCCTGTCCAGGGATTGTACTGCCCGGGACGTGCAGTCCTTGGGAAGGGGGCAGTGTTACGAATTTGGTATTTAAAAAGCTAATGTTAGTTCAATTATAAATTAAATGGTTTTTTATTTCTCGCGCAGTGCAGCGCGTGACGAATATTAAAAGAAAGCTAAGCCGGAAAAATTAAAAATACAAGAGCGCGTGCGTTAAATAAATAAATATCTCTTTTTGATTTCGAGAAAGTACTGGAAAATTCTAGCGCGTGATTTTAAAAGCTTATAAAAGGAGGAAAACATCTCAGTTTGTAAGTAGTTTGCTTAGTTTGTTGTTGTTTAGAAAACTACTGTTGTTG